ACCCGTGATACCATTCCTTGTGTTCTGTTTCCTGCCAGTTTTGTTAATAAACTGTATTACGTGCACTCGTAACAGAACGATCTGACCATCTATGGATTCAGTGAGTGCGTCCGAGCTCCAGAACTTCCTGGCGAGTAATGCCACTCGTATGGATCGCCAAGAGGAACAACTAAGAGTCACAGGACAAGCTATCAAAACGCTGGTAGCACAGGTGACCGACCTGTCCGCCCAATTACAGCACCTGAGAACCGAGGCCGTAAATCCTCCCATTGCACCACCACTGGTCTCCCCTGTACCTGCCTCCAGTAGCATCTCAAGCGAGCCCCGTCTACCTCCACCTGCCCCATATGCTGGTGAGCCTCAGCTGTGTCAAGCTTTTTTTTAATGAATGCTCCCTGTTTTTCTCTTTCCAGCCGACATATGCTACGGAACAGTCCAAGGTGGCGCTGGTGATGACGTTACTGACTGGAAAGGCATCACTATGGGGCACGGCGGTTTGGGAGAACAAGCACCCATGCGTCGTTTCATTTCCACTCTCGGAGGAGATGAGACAAGTGTTCGACCGGGCTGTGGCGGGTCGGGAGGCGGCTCGAGTTCTAGCGGATCTTCGTCAGGGGCATCGCTCTGTCGCTGATTACTCCATCGAGTTCCGCACCCTGGCTGCGGAGTGTAAGTGGAACCAGGAGGCTGAATGGGACATGTTTTTGCACGGGCTGACTGACCGCATCCAAGGAGAGATTTTTTCGCTGGAACTTCCCCCTGATCTGGATGGATTGATCATGTTGGCCATTCGGGTTGATGCCCGATTGCAACACAGAGACCAATGAGTTTTGCAGACTTTAGTCCCTGAAACATCAGAGTTTTCAGCCACCGGGATTAACGCGATCGGACCAGTCTTCGAATCGGAGCCTATGCAGGTGGGCAGGGCTCGACTGTCTCTGGAGGAGAGGAACCGTCGAAGGGAGAGGGGACTATGTTTATACTGCGGGCCACCTCGCAGTCAGGTGCCCGGTAAAAGGCACCTGGCTTTCAAGCCCGGCCGTAGAACCGAGGTTACGGTCGGGTGCATTGTCGGTAGAAAAATCCTCTGCTTCAACTCTCCTTCCAGTTCGATTACTATGGGCATCCAGCACCCACTCCTGCCAGGCGTTGGTGGATTCAGGAGCCGAAGATAATATTCTGGACATTAATTTGGGTTTACACTTACAACTGCCTATTTTTCCCTTAAAGGATGAGGTCCTGGTTAATGCTCTTAATGGACAAGGACTGCCTGCCATTACACACATTACTGGTCCGGTTACACTCATCACTTCAGGGAATCACTCTGAGAAGATTCGATTTCTGCTCACTAACTCCCCACTCACTCCAATCGTCCTGGGTCACTCCTGGCCACAACCCTCGTGTGGTCTGGGGGCGCAACTCCATCACTGCATGGAGCGATTATTGTCACTCCTCTTGTCTCATGTCTGCCTGGTCGTCTGTATCTTGTTCTGTGTTTCAGGGGGAGCCGGTGGACCTGTCTAATCTGCCCACGGAGTACTCCGACCTGAGGGAAGTGTTCAGTAAGTCTCGGGCTGCTTCACTTCCTCCGCATCGTCCCTATGACTGTGCCATAGATTTATTACTAGGTATGTCTCCGCCGAAGGGCAAGTTATACTCGCTTTCAGCTCCTGAAAGGGAGGCCATGGAGAAATATATTTCTGATTTTCTAGCAGCTGGGATCATCCGCCCCTCTTCTCCTGCGAGGGCGGGGGTTTTTTTGTGGGGAAGGATGGCTCCCTGCGACCCTGCATTGACTATCGGGGGCTGAATAGCATCACAGTAAAGAATACGTATCCTTTGCTGCTGATGTCTTCAGCCTTTGAGCGGTTGCAGGGGGCGTCCGTCTTCACAAAACTGGACCTTCGTAATGCTTATTTGGTTCGCATAAGAGGAGGGGGGGATGAGTGGAAAACCGCATTTAATACCCCCAGAGGGCACTTTGAATATCTTGCCATGCGTTTTGGCCTTTCGAACTCATCCTGCGGTTTTCCAGGCATTCGTTAATGATGTGCTGAGAGATATGGTCGACCAGTTCATATATGTCTACATGGATGACATAGATTTTTTCCTCTTCTCTCCAGGAACATGTTCAGCACGTCAGGCGAGTGCTTCAGAGGCTGCTAGAGAATGGGCTTTTTGTCAAGGCGGAGAAGCGTCTTCCATGCAGAGTCAGTTACGTTTTTGGGATACATCGTCTCGTCCGAGGGTGTGTGCATGGACCCCGACAAGATCAAGGCTTGGCCAACTCCAGATTCCCGCAAGGCCCTGCAGAGGTTCCTGGGGTTTGCCAACTTTTACCGCCGTTTCATTCGCAATTTCAGCCAACTAGCCACTCCTCTGACCGCCTTGACCTCCATCAAAACGAAGTTCAGGTGGTGTAATGCAGCTGAGGTTTCATTTTCCAACCTTAAGAGCCGCTTCGTTTTGGCTCCCAACCTCATAGCCCCTGATCCTTCTCGTCAGTTTGCCAGTGTCATCCAAGGGCCTCTTGCCGTTTCAGTGTAGTTTAGGGTACCAACCACCTATTTTTCCGAGTTTGGAACCCGAAATCGCGGTCCCCTCCGCCCATGCCTTCATCGAGAGGTGTTATCGCACCTGGAAGAGAGCCCGACGGACTCTCCTCCAGGTGAGAGCGCGCACCAAGGCCCAAGCCGATCGCCACCGGTCTAAGCCTCCCGTGTATGTCATCGGTCAAAGAGTGTGGCTTTCATCCAATAATATTCCCCTTCGCTCCGTTTCGAATAAATTAGCTCCTAAATTCATCAGCCAAGAGATTACAGCAAGACAATAAAGAGATCTCCCATGTTTCTCACAGTCCATTCTCATTTTGGACTCCTTTCTCTCAGATATTTCTCATGTCTCAGTTGTGTCAACTTTTATTTCTCCTAAGGAATTTTAGGAGAAACATCTGAGACATTGTTGATACTAAAATGGGAAACACATGAGAATCACAACTAAGTCTCCTGAGTTTAGAAAGAGCAAACTCTGAGCAATAAAATATTCCTATAGTGGAGTCTTGATAGAGATTGCAGCTAGACAATAAAGATATATTCTATGTTTCTTCCACCACATTCTCAGTTTTGACTTTTTTTTTCTCTCAAATATCTCGTCTCATTTGTGTCTACTTCTATTTCTCCTAAGGAATTTTAGGAGAAACATCTGAAATGCTATTGATACTAAAATAAGAGATATATGAGAATCTCTTCTACGTCTCCTGAGCTTAGGAAGAGCAACCACTGAGCAATAATTTTTTCCTATGGGAATAGCTGTGCACTTTTCAGCACAGTGATAGTTTGTTCACTAAGTGCTTTAGAATGAGCTGGTGTGCTTATGCTATTGTAAACTACCCCTTTAACCCAATTTTGCTACTCAATTTTGCGATTAGATCATTATAAGCTGCTAAACTTATAGTTTTCAGTCCAATGATCCAGTAAGCGAATGCATTCAAACAATCCATCCAATACAGCACTAATATAAAGCAAACCACGCTGATTACATCAGAGATTTCAGAGAGAACAGAGACTCGCATTGCGTTTTCAGAGAATTATTCATTCCAGTGTGTTTTGCTTTTAAACACGAGCTCTGTCATATTCTGTGATTGTCCCTGAAGAGCGCGTGCCCTCACATGTCACGTGCTTGTGTGAAGTACAGACTGAACGGATTGTCCAGTGTTGCCAAGTCCGCGGTTTTCCCGCGGAATTGGGCTACTTTAACACTGTTGCCGCGGGATGTTTTTAATGTCCGTGGGTTTAAGCGACCCCAATAACGTGATATTTATCAACTGGAATGCAACTTTTACCAGGGGAACCCCATCAAAAAAAAATTTATTTTACCCCCCGGAACGCCCCCTGAAAAAGCGATTGGGCTAGTTTTGAGTAGCAATTGGGAGTCGTACAGTACAGTAAGCACGTGTCCGTTATAATAATGCGTGTATGAGTGCTCTTGACGTACTGATCATACATTGTATTTATGCACAGGCACAGACATTTCCGTACATTCACGTTGTTTCCACACACATTCACGATCTCTAAAATGTAAAAAAGCTCTTTGCTGTTGCACTGTACACATACTATAAAATTCTGATTTTTTTTTTCCTTTCATATGTGCTTATATGGGCTCCTTATATCATTTGGTTCTTTGGTGTCCTTTTTGAGTTTCTAAGTGTCCTTTTTTTTTTTTTTTGGAAAGTCGTCTAAATTTAGCTTGCAGAAAATGTAGATTTTTGAGAACCACCCTTCAATCTTTTGGTTTACTTTGCTGGATATAGCAAATGATGACAAAATAAACATATGAAACAAGATAAATGGTCTATGCTTAATTTCATGAAGTGTGCGATTAATCGCGATTAATCACAGAAAAAGGATATGATTAATCAGATAAAAAATTGTAATCGATGTACATATATACACATCTATATTAGGGCTATGTGTATATTGCATGAGTAAATGTATGTTCAATATATTTATACACATGCAGTACCATATCTTATCATATATACACCTATATATTATAAAGTGTTTTATTGAATATAAAATTACATACATTGTGATATATAAGTAAATATATTGTCACAATTTTTTTATATATGAAAGCGGCAATTCCCTATGTATTATTTAATATATTGTAATATATTTACACAATATATTATTTTGTATATTTTCTAATATATCTTTATATATATTAGGAAAAATATTTTCTTTGCGTAAGGGTAGGCATTTCTGTCATCAGAAATAGCTGCTTATCAAATGGTTTTTAATACTTCAAGTCCTTCACATGTCAGTGAATGTACATGCTGTGTGTAAGTCGCTAAATATCAGTGAAGTTGAGTCAATACCTTCGACTTTGCAACACAGTACAGCAGTGCTTGAGTCAACACAACATTCAGCAGATGAAAAATTGCAGGATATGTAAATCAGTTGTGTCCAGTTGCAAACAGTAAAGTTCAGTGCATAGTTGTTTCACAGAGCAGGAAAGGCTGTGCAGACTTCCTCCAAAAATACTGGAATGCTGGTTCCCATCTAGACAACACAAAACCAGACCAATTCAAATTAATGTTATTTGTATTTTATAAATACAGAAAGTTAAAAGTGGAAAAGGTTCAATCATCTTGGACTTTTGTGAATCAAATAATAAACTATTTTGGTTAGATTCAGACTTTTGAATTGATTGATTTCCAAGTAAAAAAGGAACAAAGGAAATCATAAAAGTAATGTGACTCCAGTGGTTTAACCTCAATTCTATGAAGCAACACGAGTGTACGGTGGCCGAGAAGTGCAAAACAAATCACAATTCTGAAAACAAAATAAATTACAAACGCAAATGCAAATCTAAAAAACAAAATAACAATTCAGAAAACACTACAACATTTCTTAAAACATTATAACAAGTCGGAAAACACAATGACAAATCAGACAAACCGGTAGGTATAGTTTGAGACAGTGCCATTGGTGGGAGAATAGATTACTCACTGTTGACTGGACGAGACATCTGTCAATCAAGGTGTACAGGAAGAACAGCAGAGTAGTGGTAGAAAGTTTGGAGATGGTCTTAAAGTAACACAGTTTAAATGTATTGTATGAATTGCCTTTACTAATGAATAAAAAAAATATATGCATGTTGTAACACCTACTTGACTCAATGCTACACACTGAACCAGGTCAATGGGCCAATCAGAAGATGCTAAGTCCGTTGGAGGCAAAGAACACAAAACACAGATATTGAATTTTTAGATTTTTTTTCTCTATTCACTGTTTTACTGTAGTTTAAACCATTTGGTTTAAAATAACACAAATTCAAATTAAGATTTCAATCAAAAATCAATACACAAAATGGATTAACCATTCACAAGTTACCTTGAAACGTGCAAAAAATTATATAAACCAGATAACCCTTCTTGTCAAAGAATATTTGTAAACAAACAAGATGTGAACTAGGTCACACAACAGCAAAACAATAAATGTTAATTACCCCAGTTCATTCAAAGAATCAATTTGAGTTCAGGGAAAAATCTGAAAAAAAAAAAAAAAACCTCTGTCCCTCAGAGTTTAAAAGGAAAAGAATCGGTCAGCAGAAAAGACGAACTGATGAGATGAAAAGTTGAAGGTTCAGACTCAGTCTATGGGTGGCTCGCCATCTTTTTTCCTCAACGCGGCTTGATGCATCCACACCAGGCACGTAAATCACAGCAGAAAATCCAAATTTCAATGCATACAACAAAACTGGCCTGTACACACAGGATAACATTCTTAGAAACCTCATATAACTCTGTGTCAACAGTATGCACCTTTTAAACCAAGATTAATGTTCATTATTTACAGCATAGGCCATAACTCACATACAATGAACATATCACTTCACTTTAACATGCATAGGAATACAACACATAGTTTTGATTCATCATATGTACAAAAATAAATCTGTAACTCACCGATTCCTCTGAATTAACAGTGTTTTGAAAATCTTTTACACCACGAACTACAGTGATGACTTCATTAACTTCAGCTCGATGCTCCGGATGAACAAGGCTATAAACAGGTAAGCTTCTTTACAAACTCCACAATTTATCAGTATTTTAGCTCAAAATATCTCATCTACTTTATTTACTCTTTGTGCAAAAATTCTCTAGTCATTTTTTCTAAAATAACTTGGTTTTTCGATCAGAATTTTTCTCTGTTCCTTCTTCTTTTGGTTTTATGGCAGGTTGCGAACCAGCTTCATAGGTGCATACCGCCACCTACTGTGATGGAGTGTGAAGAGAATGTACCATTTCTCACCTAAATCTTAAATTCTGTTCATTATTCCACAATTCTTAAGAAATCTCATGATTGCACTTATTTGTTTTCCTGCATTTGGACCATCATTCAGAATACTACTTAATGAAAATTCTTTAACTCCTAAGGATTGTAATTCATCTTTAAGTCGATCCCTTTCTCTTTCATATGCTGTACATATCATCATAACGTGTTCCACTGATTCCTCTGTTAAACAAACATTACATAGACCAGTATTATGTTTCCCTATAATGTATAGTGTTTGGTTAAGATTTGAATGTCCTGTTCGTATACGTGTTAAAATGACTTGTTCCCTTCTACTTATGTTATGAATGATTTTTCTTCTCTTTATACTCCTTTGTACTTTGTGATAATAATGCCTACCTGTTTGACATGAGTCCCAGTATATCTGCCATACAATATTGCATGCATTTAATATGAACTGTTTTCCTTCTATTCTGCTGAGTGCAATATTTATACTTGGATCATCCATATTTAAGGATTCTTTAGCCATTTTATCTACCTCTTCATTACCTTGAATTCCCACATGTGCAGGTACCCATATAAACCGAGTAATTATCCCTATCTGTTTAATACTATATAGTGTAATCATGATTTCTGTTAAAATGTCTTTTCTATTTGATTGCCATGATTGAGCTGCCATTGAGTCAGAGCATATTATTACTTTATCCGGTCTTACTTCATATACCCACTCTAATGCCATAAGGATAGCTACCATCTCTGCTGTATATACAGAAGTACCATCCGTAATTCTTCCAGCCTTCCTAACCTGAAATTCTGGAATGAAAAATGCAGCACCTGTCCTTCCAGTTTCTATGTTCTTTGATCCATCTGTGTAAATTTGGAGAAATTAATAATGCATACTTTTTATATATTCTTTACCATATGCTTTTAAATTAAACCCCTTTAAATTCCCTTAATTTCTTTATGTACGTTTAAGTCAACTTCAGGTTGTTCTAATAACCAAGGTGCTATTGGTGGAGTTACTATTACCGATGCAAATTTATTTGATTCTATTCCAGTTTCATTGATCAATTTCTTGATTTTCCATGCAAATCCTTTACCTGGTTTATTTACTGTTTCCCAACTCTCATTAAGTACTTCTCTTACAGGATGATCCTCTCTTTGGCCCTGAAGATTAATCCAATATGCCATGGCTAGTTTTTCTCTTCTTAAATGTAGAGGCATTTCTGAGGACTCCACCTGTATTGCTGCAATTGGTGTCGTCTTAACTGCTCCTAGAATCAATCTTAGTGCTTTAGCTTGCATAATATCTAGCTTCTTTAATAACGTTGCAGATGCAGATTCATACACAATACATCCATAATCGAGAACTGATCTCATGAGTCCAATATATATACACTTTAATGATTGCTTATGCTTATCTGCACCCCAATCTTGTCCTGCAACCCCTCTCATTAAATTTAATTCTGCTGAGTGCAATATTTATACTTGGGTCATCCATATTTAAGGATTCTTTAGCCATTTTATCTACCTCTTCATTACCTTGAATTCCCACATGTGCAGGTACCCATATAAACCGAGTAATTATCCCTATCTGTTTAATACTATATAGTGTAATCATGATTTCTGTTAAAATGTCTTTTCTATTTGATTGCCATGATTGTAAACTCATAAGAGCTGCCATTGAGTCAGAGCATATTATTACTTTATCCGGTCTTACTTCATATACCCACTCTAATGCCATAAGGATAGCTACCATCTCTGCTGTATATACAGAAGTACCATCCGTAATTCTTCCAGCCTTCCTAACCTGAAATTCTGGAATGAAAAATGCAGCACCTGTCCTTCCAGTTTCTATGTTCTTTGATCCATCTGTGTAAATTTGGAGAAATGAATAATGCAAACTTTTTATATATTCTTTAACATATGCTTTTAAATTAAACCCCTCCCCCATTCCCTTAATTTCTTTCTGTACGTTTAAGTCAACTTCTGGTTGTTCTAATAACCAAGGTGCTATTGGAGGAGTTACTATTACCGATGCAAATTTATTTGATTCTATTCCAGTTTCATTGATCAATTTCTTAATTTTCCATGCAAATCCTTTACCTGGTTTATTTACTGTTTCCCAACTTTCATTAAGTACTTCTCTTACAGGATGATCCTCTCTTTGGCCCTGAAGATTAATCCAATATGCCATGGCTAGTTTTTCTCTTCTTAAATGTAGAGGCATTTCTGAGGACTCCACCTGTATTGCTGCAATTGGTGTCGTCTTAACTGCTCCTAGAACCAATCTTAGTGCTTTAGCTTGCATAATATCTAGTTTCTTTAATAACGTTGCAGATGCAGATTCATACACAATACATCCAGAATTGAGAACTGATCTCATGAGTCCAATATATATACACTTTAATGATTGCTTATCTGCACCCCAATCTTGTCCTGCAACCCCTCTCATTAAATTTAATACTTTACTACATTTCTTTATAATATAATCTATGTGGACTTTCCAAGTTAATTTATCATCAAACCACATTCCCAAATATTTAAAATTAGATACTTTTTCTAATGCAGACCCATAAAGTTTAAGCTGCTTATTTTCTTTAATTTTCCTCCTGGTAAATATCTGGTAATATGTTTTGGATAATGAAAATTTGAACCCCCATTCTAAAGACCACCTTTCTACTATCTCTATTGCTTCTTGAATTCTATCCAAATTAAAAGATACATTTCTTCCTCTTTTCCACATTATTCCATCATCAGCATATAAAGCCGTATTAATTCCTGGAGGCACTTCTTCAAATACATCATTAATCATAATGTTAAATAATAAAGGGCTTATCACACTCCCTTGAGGTGTCCCATTCTCCACACTCACTATCTGTGACAATTCATTTCCCACCCGAACCTGAATTGTTCTATCTAATAAAAAACTTAAAACCCAGTTAAAAAATTCTTCCTTCAATTCCAATTTTTCCCAATTTTAGTAGTACACCTTCTTTCCACATCATGTCATATGCCTTTTCAATATCAAAATAAACTGCTACTAAACCCTCTTTCATTATTATAGCTTTCTTGACATCTGTCTCCAGCTTTATTAATGCATCCAATGTTGAACGACCTTGTCTAAAACCATATTGATAAGGTGCTAACCCTCCCTTACTCTCTAATACATGATTCATCCTATTTACAATCATTGTTTCCATTATTTTACAAAAATTAGACGTAAGTGCTATTGGCCTGTAATTCCCAGCTATTGATGCATCTTTTCCTGGCTTAGCTACTGGTATTATTATTGCATGTTTCCATGATCTTGGTATCCTCCCCTCTATCCATATCTTATTAAATAATTCCAGTACTACTTTAAGAATACTATCATCTGCATGTTTGGTCATATTATAACATATTTTATCTTTTCCTGGAGCTGATTGCCTAAATTGACATAATATTCTTCTAAGTTCCCATATCTCAAAATCAGCATCTAATACTCCTGTCCCATCAGGTTTTCTATTATAAATACATTGATGTTGCTTTAAAATGTCCTGTCTTTTCCTTCTATAATTCTCATCAAGATTTTCTTTACTATGTGCCTTTTGAAAGGTCTTGACTAATATTTCTGCCTTTTCCTTTTCTGTGATAGCTGTTACTCCTTCTCCTGTTAATATCGGAATAGTCCTAGTTTTATATATCCCAATCATCTTCTTTAACATACCCCAAACCTCACCCACTTTAGTTTCTTTACCTATGTAATAATAATACTCTTGCCAGTATTTTTTTTTTCGTGTGGTGCATTCGCACGGGATAAGCGAAGCCTGTGATTTTACTCGAATTTACCGACTTATCTACCGGATACCCGGATGTCAAGGCTATGTAAACATAACCTTGTACTCATCCTCCGTCCGCATTGTTTTACTCCTTCCTCCTTCTCCCCCGATTTCTTCCGAATCTGAGCCTCTATCTTTCCGTTTCTGAGATGTCAGCTCTACCTGATTCCACTCTCCACAATTCAAATCTGCAAAATCATCTTCTTCTTCTATGCTCCTTCCGTCATTCTCTTCATTCACACCACAGTCGTCGCCAAACCCGCCACGGCGTCTTTTCTTCGCCATGACGCCCCCTTCTCTGTCTCTGTTGATCTCGTCTGCGCCTCCAGTGGGCGGAGTCAGCGTCACGGCTGAACTCACTCAATTGGACAATTACACCTGCAGTGCAGATTCCAACTATAATTGGATGTATTTTGCCGCAGTAATTTGCATATTAGTAATATGATTAATAAAGCATTATATTTACTTTCAATTTTATTTTTCTCTGTGTCTTTCTTTATATTCACTACATAGGTTAATATAGTAAAAATATTTTTTTTTCCTTGGACTGCAAATTAATTTAAGTCTGGGTTACAATGTACATTTACAACACTGTACTTATATTACCTTTGAATAAGTCCAAAGAGAAAGGAAAAATTGAAATCGCATCATATGACCCCTTTAACACAACATGCATGCATTGTGACGTCCTCTGAACGTGAGTTAGAGATTAATATTTTGTAAATAAAATGGTAAATGGTTTTTTTTGCAAATAGCACTCGCGTAACAATAAAACTGATGTTAAACCACTGGCGTCACATTGATTACTTTAATGATGTCTTTATACCTTTCTGGGGCTTGAAAGGTAGTTGTGTGGACTGACAATGAAGTGAACAGGAAGCTCTCAAACTTCGTTAAAAATATCTTCATTTTTGTTCTGAAGATGAACGAAAGTCTTACGGGTTTGGAATGACATGAGGGTGATTAATTAATGACAGAATTTTCATTTTTGGGTGAGCTAACGTTTTAAGAATAAATAAGACACGCACCTTAAGAAATCTCACTAAATAGTCAGCTGTCTGAAGGAGGCTGATCTTTGCTCCCTTATTGTGGCTTTGTGATGTTGGGGCCAGAGATGTCCTACCCTATTGAGTCTACAGTCATGGCCAAAAGTATTGGCAGTGACATAAATTTTGTGTTTTGCAAGTTTTCTGCTTAAGCTGTTGTGGTGTTCATTCACATTGTTTCTAGATTATTGTGTAGAGTGATCAGATGCATTTTAAATAATTGCTAAAAGCTTCATCGGCCAAAAAATGAACTTTTCACACACAAAAAATAAATAAAATTTCACTGTTTTTTTTATCCTGACACAAAATGACCAGCTAACATTAATTGACTAATCATATCAGAAGCACATGTGAAAGTGTGAATGAGTACTAGTCAGGTAAAATAACCATCATACTAAATAGATTGTAAGAGCAGACTGATTGCTATAAAAGGAGGGAAGAAGC